TTTATTTATTTTATATATATATGAGTGTTCTATCTGCATTCACATCTGCCAGAAGAGGGAATCAGTTCACATTATAGATGGTTATGAGCCACCATGTGGTTGCCAGGAATTGAACTCATGACCTTTGGAAGAACAGGCAATGCTCTTTTTTTTTTTTTTTTTTTTTAAGATTTATTTATTATTCATACAGTGTGTCTGCATGTATGCCTACACGCCAGAAGAGGGCACCAGATTCCATTATAGATGGTTGTGAGCCACCATGTGGTTACTGGGAATTGAACTCAGGATCTTTGAAAGAACAGTCAGTGCTCTTAACCTCTGAGCCATCTCTCCAGCCCTGGCACATGACTTTAATCCCAGCACTCAGGAAGCAGAGCCTGGTCTTCAAAGTAAGTTCCAGGACAGCCAGTGCTACACAGAGAAACCCTGTCTCAAAAAAACAAAACAAAAACATAAAAATAAAAATAAAAGTTGGACTAGAGAGATGGCTCTGTGGTTAAGAGCACTTCTTATTCTTCTTTTAAATACTTTACTTTTCATGGCTGGGATACAGAATTAATAAAATGTAACTGATAAGAAAAAAATAAAATTAAAAAAATAAAAATAAATACTTTACTTTTATTTCATGTAATTGGTGTTCTGCCTGCATGTATGTCTGTGTGAGGGTGTCGGATCTCCCGGAACTGGTGTTACACATAGTTGTGAGCTGCCGTGTGGGTGCTGGAAATTAAACCTGGATCCTCTGGAAGAGCAGCCAGTGCTCTTAACCGCTAAGGCATCTCTCCAGCTCCCCACTTCTTGTTCTTGAAAGGACTTGGGTTCAATTCCCAACACCCACATGATGGCTCATCACCATCTGTAACTCCGTCTTCTGACCTTCTTGGACCACAGGCACACACATGGTGCACATACACAATGCAGGGAAACATTCATATACAAAGTCTAAAAGTATTTAAAGTTATAAAAAGAACAGACGAAATACGAAAAAGGGAAAAAAAAGCACTGAGGCTTTAGTTCTAGGAACCGAGTACATATAAGCTATTTTATGAAGCAGCAGTCAAAGCCTAATCCCGTGTCCGATAGATTACTGCAGTGAGTTTATGGTGTGTGTGTGTGAGAGAGAGACCTGCCGTAGCACACATGTGAATGAAGGTCAGAGGACAACTTGTGGAGTTGGTCCTTTCTTCCCCTGGGGATATAGGAGATCAAACTCGGGTCATCAGGCTTGCGCAGCAAGCACTTGATCAGCGAATAATGTCTGCTAGAAGGAAGTTCTATTAAGTTCAATAAAAATGATAGGAAAATTAGTCCTTGGGTTCAATCCCTAGCATTCAAAAATAAAAATAAATTTCTCCTTGGCTAGAAAATGTGAATTCTTCAGCTTTACAGACGGTTTGTCGCAAAGCGGTAATGCTGCCCCAGCGATCTGTTGGGCAGCACTGTTTGTAAGCATGCAGCCATCGTTCACCCGAGATCTGTGGGAATGCCAGCACACCCCACGTGAGCCCTGGCCACTGCTGATGGAGAGGTGAGCTAAGTGCACCTTCCGGTTGGCTGCCCGCGGCTCTGTCCACACGCTCCCAGCCTCGGGAGGAGCTAGGGCGCATACACAGTGCAAGGAGAACTGAAGGAGGGGCCCCATTTATTGCAGTTCTCATCACTGGTGCCCTATAAGCAGAGTCTTCCCAGGGAAGGGTTTCTGCAACCATCCACATGTGACTGGCTGGTGCTGTAGAACTTTGGCCTCTTTCCTGGGAAGCATAGATATGTGTTAAGTTAAGTGTGACTACATCAGACCCGATTCTAACACAGTTACGTTATTATTTTATGCTAATTACAGAGGGCGCTTTAATCAGCCATGATCAAATTATCCAGCCCTGGAGCTGATATGCAGTGACCAGTGTGTAATCCTAGGCCTGAAGCTTGCTTCAAAGTCAGTAACAAAAGTTATAGTTTCACAACTGGATGAAGCAAGCTTTATGTTGAAGCTTTGTCAGTGGGAGTAGGACATGCATGTATCATAATATACATCTGAAGACCAGAAGACAATTTTCGAACGTTAGTTTTCTCTTTGCTCCCACCTCGTGGGTTCTCCAAATTAACTCAGGTCATCACAGCAAGTACCTTTGCTGAGCATCTCGCTGGCCCCAGAAGCAAAGCTTCAGTTTTGCATTCCGGAATTTTTAGAGACAACCAAGTTAATACTGCAAAGGATGAAGAAGCAGAAGGGTTATGTGCCAGAATCAGAAATCCAGTAGGTTTCAGGTATAGTTGTTAATCCCAGGATTTGAGAGGCAAAGTCAGGCAGATCTTTGTGTCAAGGCTAACCTGGTCTACATACCAGTTTTAGGCCATTCAAGGATATACAATGAAACCCTTTCTCAAACATGGCAATGGGGCTGGAGAGATGGCTTAGCAGTTAAGATCATTTGTTGAAAAAAAAAAAAAATCATTGTTACTCCAGAGGATCCAAGCTCAGTTTGAAGGGATTCTGGCCAGCCTGAGCCCAGCAAACATTGCAAAGATTGGCAGGCCTTGCTCTTCTCCCCCTTTCCTTCTGCCTTGATTAAAAAACAAACAAACAAACAAACAAACAAACAAACAAACAAAACTTTTAGATTACTTTCCTAAAGCTAGCCACCAAGGTTTATTTCCTTATTTGGCCACTTCCTCCTCCTGAGGTTAACTACCAAAGTCTAGCTTTCAAAGTACTGAAGTCCAACAAACAAAAGCCCACTTTGGCTCACCTAATTAACATGCCCAATTAAAATTAAACACCATGGGGGAAGGAGGGTGGGATTGGGAGGGGAGGAGGAATGGGGCTACAACTGGTATGTAAAGTGAATAAAATAATAAAAACTTTTTTAAAACTTAAAATAATAAAATATCTCACCTAACACAGGGATTCCCCTTTGACCCTTATAGTCTACCATTTTTCTATGTGCTGCATCTGTCTCCTCTCTTTCCAGAGGCTGCCTTTGTCTCCACCTCCCCGCCCCAACAAACATCCCTATCCCCTTTCCCTTGCCCCTTCTTCCTTTTGCCTTCTTCCTTTTCATCTATCTGCTGTCTTTGTTTCCCTATCCCTGCCCTCTGTCCTTCTGTAACAAATAAATCTCTTTGTTCTGATAACTTGGCCTTAGGGTGTCTAGAGCCAACTCTCGTGTTCCCAGCACCCACATGGTGGCTCATAACCATCCATAACTCGGGTTCAAGGGAATCCATTGCCATCTTCTGGGTTCCTTTGGGATTTTGTTTTGTGTTTTTGGTTGTTTGTTATTTGGCTGGTTGGATTTCTAAGAGAGCATTTCTCTGTGTAGCCCTGGCTGTCCTGGGCCTCCATTTGTAGAACAGGCTGTAATTAAAGGCCTGTGCCGTCCCCTCCAACAGTACCATCTTCTGACCTCCAAGGGCACCAACCATGTGTGTGACACAGACATGCATGCAAGCAGAATACACATAAAAAATAAAAATAAATTGAAAGCTGGAGATGGTGGCACACAGCTTCAATCCCAGCACTTGGGAGGCAGTGGATCTCTGAGTTCAAGTCAAGGCCAGCCTGGTCTACAGAGCATGTTCTAGGACAGCCAGGGCTACACAAAGAAACCCTGTCTCAAAAAAAAAAAAAAAAATTAGGAATGCAACTTAACCGTTGACATTCTTTTTTTTATTATTGTTTAAATAAACAATAATTATAATTTATTTTTTGAGACAGGGTTTCTCTGTGTAGCTCTGGCTGTCCTGGAACCACTTTGTAGACCAGGCTGGCCTCAAACTCACAGAGATCCACCTGCCTCTGCCTCCCAGAGTGCTGGGAATTACAGGTGTGAGCCATTGTGTCTGGCTCTTTTGGCATTCTTTTGCCACTGTGCAATTTAAACCAAACCAAACCAACCCTGCCTTTATCCAATCTACACTTTCTTACCTTTGTCCTGGTGATAGAAGCTCAAAGTATATTCACACTTAGCAAGGTCTAAAGAAGTTTTTTTTGTTTGGTTGGTTGGTTTGGTTTGTTTTTTTCAAGTCAGGGTTTCTCTGTGTAACAGTTCCGACTGTCCTGGAACTCACTCTGTAGACCAGGCTGGCCTCGAAATCACAGAGCTCTGCCTGCCTTTGCCTCCGGAGTGCTGGGATTAAAAGTGTGTGCCATCACCAACCTGCTTCTAAAGAAGGCTTAATGAGTATACATTCCCTGTTCATACTTTTCTTTTTTCCTAAGAACAGTTAACCTCAGGAGTGGGGGTGCACGCCTTCAATCCCAGCACTTGGGAGGCAAGGCAGACAGATCTCTGTGAGTTTGAGGCCAGCCTGGTCCTCAAAGTGAGTTCATGGCAGTGAAGGCTACACAGAGAAACCCTGTCTTGAAAATCTGAAGAGAGAGACAGAGAAAGAGAGAGAGAGAGAACGGTTATATTCTTTGCCTCACTAGCTCATGTGATGCTGAAGGGGACACTGACATTCAGAAAAGCTACCTACATTCTCAAAAACAGTCTTAAGTGCCTCCTGATTGAGACTTTGAATAAAGTAATTTATTAATTGATATTGAAAATTGCAGCCAAGCACTCTGTCTTGTCTTTTCCTAGGTGAGCCTGGTGTGTGGATGATTTCTACCAACAATGTTGTACAGACAGACGCTGTCACCGGAGTAGGAGTGGCTAGGAGCCCAGGAACTGCAACCGTTTTTCATGACATTCCTGGAGTGGTGCGGACGTTTCGAGAGGTGAGAGGTACCCCTCACTGTACCATGGCTGAAGGGACTGAGTGACCGCGTTCACGCAGAAAGCATCCTAGGATGGAAGTCCACATGTTTAACAGACAACAGGACAGTGAGCGGGCTGGGGAAACACTGCGGTGTTAGAACACCTGCTGGCACAGGCCCAAGCTTCAGTCTCGAGCGCCTAAAAAGCAGAGCAAATGAAATAAGACATTTTTATAAATAGTAGTTAGAATTCCTACCAGAGGTCTGACTAACCTGAGTCTGTTTTAAGAGATCACTACGAGTGCTCAGTTCAGTAGTGCGTACACTAAAACTGAGCGACCAGAGAGGACTAGCATGGCCCCTGCACAAGGATCACACACAAAATTTTTTCACACAAAAATTATTTATTTATTATATTGAAAATTACAGCCAAGCACTTTTTCTTGTCTTTTCCTAAGTGAGCCTAGGGTGTGGATGATTTCTACCAACAATGTTGTACAGACAGACATTGTCACTGGAGGAGGGGTGGCTAGGAGCAGTCCATGTTTATATCATTAAATTTTTGTTTCAGGTTTTTTATTTTGGTTTGGTTTGGTTTGGTTTGGTTTTTCAAGATAGTGTTTCCCTGTGTAGCCTTGGCTGTCCTGGACTTGTTTTGCAAACCAGACTTAAATTCTTGTTTCTACTACCACCCTGGGAGACCTGGGCAACATGGGCAGAGCCTGGCTGCCTCTGCCTGTCCTGTGCCACCACTGTAAGGAAATGTCTTCAGAAATTAACTGGGTTGCTAAAGTTTCACCTTTGGCGGGCTCCGGGGTAGAATCTGGGATGGGATGTAAAATCCAGTATTTGCTTTATCTCTTGGGTCGACAAGCTTATGGCTCAGGCAACTGTTCGTGATAGATGACTAAAAGAAGAAGAAAGAGGGGAGAGAGCCCGGAATTCCTTCTCTAGTGATTCAGGACTGGTTGTACTGCAGCTATTGAGGAAAACTGAAACGGAACACTACTTTCCTGCAGCAACTTCTAGACAAAACTGCAGGGGATTGTAAAATGAGGCTCTTTGATTTGAGATTAGCTCCCTCAAGGGAGCAGGCTGATGCAGAGCATTCCACAGGCTAAAGTAAACTTTGGCCTGCTTATCTTAGAAGACTGATGGCTAGGCTATTGTTGATTATAATATTTATTATTGACTTATCTTTTAGTTAAACAGCAGTATACCCATTCTATACCCAAATTACCACACAGAGACTAGGATTTATTTAGAGCACAATGCTGGGCAATAATTACTCCATCCTAAACCTCCAAGTGGCAGAGCTTTCTCCCATTCAGATTTCCCACATATACTTGCTTGTTAGTCATATCTTAGGTCTGGTTCATCTCTCCTGGTGTTTCCAGGTCCTCTCCTCTCAGATCTCTCTTCTCCAAACGCCCCTCCCACTCACTTCTTTCTCCTCTCCTCCGAACCAGGATGTCCTACCCTGTTCTCTCTATTGCTCAGCATTGGCTGGTTGTTTTATTGACAATACAAGAACAAATGGTAGCATGTTTACACAAATTTGAGGCAGGTGATGCTTAGAATAAACATCACAATGCAATGTCCAGATTGAAACCAGATAGTGGGGTAGCATTTGAATTAACAAGGGTAAATTGTATACATTCCACAAGAACATTATACCATTAGGTTCCGAGTCTGCTAACTGATTTATGAATCAATAAGAAAAAGGAAAGAGGAGAGAAAGTAAGCAATGACCACTCATACACACTCAAGACAAAAGGGTAGATGAAGTTAAAAACATTAATTTCAACAAATTCCCACAAGCTTACATATGACAGTGATGTTGATTTCAGCCAGCATCTCCTCTGGAGAAACTGCAGCAAGTTCAGGCTGCCAGTTCCATTTTATCAGCCCATACATACACATAGACAAACAGTCAGACATATAGACCAGTACATACTTATACACACAGTCAATGGACAATACAGAAAAAGCTCCTTACATACAGAAGACAGTTGACATATACTCATGTAACATATGTACAAAGGACAGCCAGAAGTATTTACATGCAAACACATTATCTATATACATAGTTACCTATTTACAATTCATGGATGAAGTGAATTCCAACGGGCTTCAACCAACCTTTATTGTCTGGTTACAACTTTTAAATTTCTGAGACAAAGCACTCAAAAAAAAAAGTACTGGGGCTGGAGAGATGGCTCAGTGGCTAAGAGCACTGTCTGCTCTTCCAGAGGTCCTGAGTTCAATTCCCAGCCACCACATGGTGGCTCACAACCATCTATCTATACTGGGATCTGATGGCTTCTTCTGGTGTGCAGGTGTACATGCAGATAGAACATTCATGTACATAAAATAAGTAAATAAATAAAATCTTAAAAAGAAAAAAAAAAGGAATTACCTCATAGTCAAAAAGGCAATTAATCATGAACCAGGTGTGGCGGCACACACCTTTAACTCAGCAGTCAGGGAGGCAGAGGCAGGTGGATCTCTGCAAGTTTGAGGCCAGTCTACTCTACAAAGAGAGTCCAGAACAGCCAAGGCTACACAGAGAAACAGACGAATTCTAAAACACAACCAGTTACATGTTTTAAAACTAAACATTTTTTTTTAATCTTTGTACCCATTGCATAAGTTCCTAATGAGTTCAGAATGACAAAGGTTGACAAGGCCTAAAGGTTAACAGGGTCCAAGAAGTTACAAGAATTAGGTCTCTTTTCAATTAAGACTGACCTAGCTAAGCTACACATTTTTCAGCTATCTCTTAGTTTATAGTGAGTTCAGGACAATAATTTTATCTGTCTTTCATTCCAAGAAACAAAGTAAATTTAGAATGATAGTATATTATGCCGTAAGCTGACAAGATATAAGGAATTAACAATGGAACAGTTTGTATATTTTGACGTTGAGGTTTGTACTTAATTTAGACTTTTATTGGTAGCCCCACTATATTTTGGGTTAATGGGAAGTTTAAACCAACTTGCCTGTAGTTATGGTGTATACCAGGATTCATGGTGCCATTTTGAGTGAAAGCTATCTGAAGCCACAAATCTGTCTCAAGCCTGTCTCCTAGTGAGGTATGTGGAGGTTCACAAAGGTATTTATTGCAGCCATAAACTTCTAAAATTGTTTTAAATGTACTAAAACAATTTAACTTCTAAAATTGTTTGAATCAAATCAGGAATTCTAATAATTACAAATTAATTCATCTGAACAGCAGTGCATCCTCACAAAGATCCCACAGGAAGTTTGCTCAAACAGAGTGGGTAAATACCCATAAAGTGAGGGTTCACACCATGCCAGATTTTTGAGAGACACAGCATCAATGCAGAAATGATGAGGTGTCAAGACTGAGGGCGCATCACAGTACAGACTCTGCAAAATACTGGATCCTTCTAAAAAGCCCACATGCCCATTGAACTTCTTTAACAGAATGGCTCTTGACACTGGGTCCATCAAGCCAAAAGAAAAAGAGAGAAAGAAAGATCACTATGAGGGCTGGGAGATGGCTCAGTAGAAAACCCAGGACCGATGTAAAAGCCAGGTGTGGTAATGCACATCTGTAACCCCAGCACTCCTTTAGTGAAACAGGAAGCAGAGTCAGGAATCTGCCAGATGCTCTCTTATCAGCAAAAACAAGAGAGACTCTGCCTTAAAGCAAGGTGGAAGGAACGGATCAATTCTGGAAAAGCTGCCCTCTAACCTCCATAGGCATGCAATGGCGTGCATACACCTGCATTCCCACATATGAAATACATGTCAGGTGGACCATTGTGAGTATGGTTCTCCATGCCTGGAATCCCAGCATACAGGAGGTTGAGACAGGATTGCTGAAACCAGAATTCAAGGACAACCGTGGCTGCACAGTGAGGTCCAGGACAGCCAAGGCTACAGTGTGAGGCCTTTTCTGAAAACAAGAGAAGAATACTTGTTCTGGGCTGAGGAATGTAGAGTGCTTTACTTACATGCATGAGGTCCTGGGTTCCATTAAGCCTGTAATGCCTGTAATCCCAAGACTGGACATGTAGAGGTGGAGGTGGGAAGATCAGAAATTCAAGGTTATCTTAGGCTATAAAGGGAGATTCAGGCCAGCCTGGGATTCATGGCTGTCTCAAAATTAAAAAATAAAAAATAAAAAATAAATCTTTTCACAAATAAACAGATTTTGTATTTCTCAAATACATCAGAATTTTTGTTTGTATTTATATGAAATAGATACTTTTGGTTGAAATAAGTCACAAGGGGTAATGATGAAGGAGACCCAGCTTTTCCTTTGGTTTGCTGACAGGTGGTAGTCAATGCATCATCAAGATTAACACTCAGCTATGACTTGAAAACTTATCTCACCAACATCCCCAATGCAACTGTGTTCAAACTCTTCATCAGCACGGGCAAAAATGTCAACCTCAAAGGTGAGGAATTTCTCCACAGGCCTCATGATTATGGCCATCTTTCTTATCTGCCCTCAACCATTTCACTCCTTTGGATTAATGTTTTCTTTTATTGGCTGTGCTTAGTAGCACATGCCTGTAATACTAGCATCTGGAAAGCTAAGACATGAGCTGGAGAGATAACTTAGAGGTTAAGAGCACTGGCTGCTTATCCGGAGGACACAGGTTCAAGTCCCAGCACCCACATGACAGCTCACAACTGACTGTAACCGCGTGCCTGGCAAAAATCGTTTTTTTTTAGAAAAGAAAAGCCAAGAGACAAGCATTGCAGCATGTTCAGTGTCATCCTCAGCTGTATAGTGAGTGTGGTGTCACCCTGGGCTGTATATAAGATCCTACCTGAAAAACCCAAGACAAAAACATTTCCTTTTACGTCAAAATTGACTCCAATTTTTACAAAGATTTTTATTTTCTAAATTTATTTATTTTTATATTATGTACATTGGTGTTTTCCCTGCATATATGTCTTTATTAAGGTAAAAAAATCCCCCAGAACTGGAGTTGCAGACAGTTGTGAGCTGCCATGTGGGTGCTGGAATTGAACCCAGGTCCTCTGGAAGAGCAGCCAGAGGTTAAGTGCTCTTAACCTCTGAGTGTATGGGCATGTGCATATGAGTGCCGGTGCCCTTGGTGGCCAGACGCTTGACACTGGTGCTGAAAACTCAACTTGCGTGCAGTGAGTATTCTTAACTGCTGAGCCATCTCTTTGGCCCTGACTTCATCTTGGCACATAAACTGAAATCTATGAGATTTCAAAAATTACGACTGGATTAAAGTTTGGGTTTTATTCTGTGTGTGTGTGTGTGTGTGTGTGTGTGTGTGTGTGTGTGTGTGTGTGTGGTGCTGGAGAGCAATGCCAGGGTCCTGTGTATATGAGGTAAGTAAGAATCCTATTGTGCTGCTGAGGCAAACCTCTACCCTGGATTAATCCCTGGAT